AAATCTGTTTATTTCACTTCATGAGAGTCACAATCAGCGATTTTTCACACACTCACTAACTCACTCACTCACTCACTCAGCGATCAGCAAATCGCTGATTGTGACTCATAGAAAGCAAAATTTACAGGTTTTATGTTTGAAACGCATACTTTGTAACCTCTTATTGTAAGTTACAAGCAAAACATGTCATATCTTTTGGTTTTATTATTCCGAAAAACATTATTTTAGCTGAAACCTTGTATTGAAGTATTTGCAACCTTGTTTATAACATCTCTGTCACAAACTTTGTGCAGTTAATTCTAAAGCTGCATGATCTTTTTGAGTGAACAAGTATAATTTGAATATGGAATTCAAGAAGGTCGAGTGTTGCAAGCCGGTGTTCGTCAAAGCTTCGTAAATTATCCGAAAATTTGATTGAAAAACATAAGTTCCTTGAGTGGAAATTAAATTTGGATACATCTCTATCAATCTGTGATACGTGTCGCTTGAATTTAAATAGAATCGAACCATGTGCTGAAAATCAGGAACTAGAAGTGCAACCGTCAGTCATGGACATCGCGGAGCCGCAGCCATCTACATCTCGACATGGCCTCGAAGAAATACCATCAACTACGTCAATAACAACAGCATCATCTCAGGATAGTGGAGAGCAACAATTTTCCAGGACACATAATATTGAGCTATTCAACAAGGGCATAGCTGGTATCAACGTATCGCCAATATCGAAAAAAAAAAAAATCCAGAATGTTAACTATCCCCGGAGAAAGTATATGGACATTACCAATGGCATTAAGAAACGCATATTCGGTTTTCAAGCGGAAGAAGATTACCTGGAGCAACTAAAATTGAAAGCTGCGGAACACAATGAGATGATCGGACAACTGAAGGAGAGTTTTTCTGATCCAGGTTCATCGAGAGACGATCAAATAAGGATTCTGACGATTTTGCCGAAATCTTGGTCAACGCAAACGGTAATGGACGAGTTTGAAACAAATAAATACATTGTATTGCAAGCTCGATGCTTGGCAAACGGGAAAGGAGTATTGGCCACCCCCAACAAGGTTAGGACACGGTTTCGATCCCGAAATTAAAAACGAGGTATTGCAGCTCTTCGAAAGCGACCAGATAAGCAGAGCCACGCCAGGACTAAACGATTACGTTTCAGTGAAGAAGGAAGGTAAGAAGATTCATATTCAAAAGCGACTTTTAGTTTGTACATTGCGAGAAGCTTTTATTAAATTTCAAGAAGTTAGTAAAAATAGCATTGGATTTAGTTCATTTGCAGCACTAAAACCAAAGCATTGCAAATTACTTGGTAGTTCAGGTTCTCACAATATTTGTGTTTGTACCATCCATGAAAATATTAATTTAATGCCTCATTGTCTTAGAAAATATTCATTCGAAAAAGATTTCAACCATTATTTTGAAGAAATATTATGCAGCTCATCATTGTTACCTCCGCGAATGCGAACGTTGCCCAGGTCTCTCAGATTTTGAAAGAAGTTTTTCAGAAAAATTCGAAGAACAGGGTATGTCTGAAATATGTTTTGAACAATGGGTTTCAACTGATCGATGTAGTTTAGAGAAACTTGTAAAACCAGTAGATGGATTTGTTCCTTATTTTTGCGAAAAGTTGGAAAAACTGGTATCCCATGATTATATTAAAACTCAGCAGTCTAGTTTCTTGAGAAATACAAAAAATACTCTTAAAAATGGAGAAGTTGTCATAATTTGTGATTTTTCCGAAAATTATTCATTTGTTCTTCAAGATGCTGCCCAAAGTAGTTACTGGAATAATCAACAAGCTACTATTCATCCTTTTTGCATTTATTATTCAGAATCAGGTATAATTAAAAATTTAAGTTTGATCGTAATCTCTGAAGTTTTAAAACACGATACAATTGCGTTGCAAGTATTTATTTCAAAATTACTGACCTTTTTGCAAACAAAAATACAAGTAAAAAAAGCGATGTTTATGTCTGATGGAGCTGCATCCCAATATAAAAATTGCAAAAATTTTGCAAGTCTTTGTAAATTTAAAACGAAGTACAATATTGATGTTGAATGGCACTTTTTTGCAACTTCGCATGGCAAGGGACCATGTGACGCGATTGGTGGCACATTAGAACGAATGGCAAGGAACGCAAGTGTGGCTGTAGAACACGAACATCCAATCACAAGTGCAGCAGAGTTATTTGCATGGGCTAACCAGAAGATTATTTAACAAAAATGTCAAAGGAATACGAACTGGGGCTGCAGAATGGAAAAGCATTTTTGAAAAGGCCCAAACGATCCCAGGTACAAGAAAATATCACTGTATTGTTCCGATTTCTGAAAATAAAATATCAGCGAAAATATTTTCGAATGACGAAGAACGTACCATTCATAACATATAAAAACATGCCAATCAAAAGTTTATCAAATAAAAATATATCCAACGAAAAGGTTTATGTACAAATTATTATTATTAAAGACGATCGAAAGTAATAAATGTAAGATGCAAATAAAAACGCATGGGTATTTCATTTATTTATCTTATTTATCTTATAAGTTTAAAACAAATTTTCCAATAGTCTATTGGTGCAAGGGTAAGTTGAAGGTAAGTACATGCATTTCTTGCAAAACTTATCATGTTTGATGGACAATCACGTATAACTTACGAAAAGGGCATGTTTTCTACAAAAAATTGATTTTGATGAAAGTAAATTTGAAATATCTCGAAAACGGTTATATTTAGGAAGTTAATCTATATGAACACTATCATTTAAAATGATTTTTATAATCATATACTGACATCAAACTGAAAATTTTTCCGTAAATAATGAAAGTTTCAAAAATGCCTTAAAAGTTCCTCTTAGAAAAACTTTTTTATTAAAAGTTTGTCCATCCTGGAGTTGTTTTCAAAACTTCTGCTTTCTATTCTAGTTTTTATTAAAAATATAAAAAAAAAAATCAAAAATACGTTTTTTTTGTTATTTCAATTTTGTAAAAAAAAGAAAAAAAAAATTCCGTGTATATTTTTTTCATAAAGCCTTATTAGTGTCCTACAACTCCTTCTTAGTAATTTTTTTTCTACAACCAACTGTTTTCGAACTACATTTTTTTAAAGTATGTGTGCAAAAACACATAGGCCCTTTTCAAAAATTACCCTTGAGTCAAAAGGGTCTCCTCTCCTGCGGAAAATACTTGGTCTATCATACTGAAAATATGTGCCAAGTTTCATCCAGATCGAAGATAGTCAAGTTTGGTGACTGACCGATTTGGCGTGGAATGGGTTTTATACATTATGAATAAGTCAAAACGTATTGAATCGGCTTAAAAACGTCAAAATAGCAACATAACAAAAAAAAATTCCTTACATGATAAGAAACACTAAAACCGTCAAAATTGCGCTTAAACGACTTTAAATGTGTAAAAGTTATGTGAAAACAGAGAAACTGTAATCGAATCGCATGGGGTATATCAAAACGACAAAATAGATTAGACAAAATGGTTTAAAAAATGGGCTCAAATCGCTGAAAAATGGTCTGAAAAACCTCAACAGATTCTAGAAAACACCGATATAATTTTTAAAACGTAAAAACACAAAAAAAATATCCTTACAATTGCTAAAGTAGCTTATTACATATTACCTTAACGGCTTTAAATCACTTAAATGGTCTTAAGGGGAAACTTACCACTTCAATAGAAAAAGATTTGATTTTTCTAAAAAATTGGGAAAAATATACTTATATAACTTTACTGCCCTTTAAGAATAAAATACACAGAACCCCAGAATGGATGGTAGGTTTCCCTGAATTATTATGGGAAATTCCCAGTAATCGTACCGCTGCATCACTGAAAACAAGCTGTTAATTATTTCTTCAACTACTGATATTTCCACCAATTATTTTTCCACATACATTAAATCCCTGACATAACCTACAACATTTTCAACCATCGCCGACCTCGAGCTTTCTCGCAGCCATTGTTTCCCACAGCAGTGTAGCAGCTCATCGCACCTACCAGAACAACGAACTGAGCAAAAGCGTGCGTGCGTGCGTGCGTGCGTATTTGCCGCCACAGGAGCAACGTCATTGAGAAAACTCGGCTTCGTCATCATCCTGCTGAGCCTGCTGCTGCTGCCGTCTCTCCTTTGGCTCCGTTCCACCTCCCACCCAAAAACCCACCCACCTGTGTTTCCCAACCATTTGCTGCGTGCCACGCACCTGCTCTTTTTGCGAATGTGGGACAAATCCGAATTGTACGTGTGTTGGATGTTCACTCATCTCCGTCATATGTATCTGGTGGATGACGTTAAGAAAAAGGATTTTTGCTTTGGCGCGCGGGAGCGGAAAACTGTTGAGCACCGAGCCAACTCGATCCTGAATCCGATGCGAGTTAGAGAGCGGATTGCTAGGCAACGGCGCTCCACAACCCGCACAGGGTTGTTGCGTTATCACTGAATTTGTGAATGGGGCTGAATACGCCGAGAGCGAGCGAATTGACTGCTGAGGGAACAAAGGGGAGCGAGAGTTGAACGGACAGTCACACACCTAAAGGTTTGGGGACTGTGTCACGTGAAAGGTGGTGCTCACGGGCAGTGCTGCCAGCGGTATAAAAGGTCTTGTGTGGGGAAATGCTAGCGGGTCAGTTTGTTTTTATTTTTGCATTCTTATCAGAGCTCGAGAGAGTTTTTCTCACGGTTGTGGAGCTCGTAGAGAGTGGGTGCGCTCTGCATTTGACGGCTCTGAGGGTGAGTGTATATGGACCATCAGGGTCGCGCGCATGAATTCCAGCCTCGGGATGCTGCTGGCCCGTTCTGTTGCACACGTGGTCCACTAGAGACACGATGGTGTACTAAATCTGGGAGCCAGCTGGTGCCGACCCGCTCTGGCCAAAGTGAGAGAATCCGGCTCCCGTGAGTGAACGTGTGCTAAAATCAGGGGGATATCCTGGCTTGCCAAACTGGCTCGCTATTCGGAGCCTGTGCTCCAGTTGGTGTTCCGGTTTAGGGTCGTGCTGTTGTTTTTGTATAAATTTGTTACTTAATGCTTTAAATATATGTGCAGTGAGAGTATACTTTTTCTTTTTGATTTGATCACTATTAGCCACCTTTTATCTTCGTGAGGTAAATCGCGATAAAGGGGGAAGGAAAACGCGTTTCGAAAAAGGATTTTCCGGTGGACAAAAAAGGTCGGAACAAAAGAAACCAGAGTGAGGAGTGCGGGTGGCTGGTGAAGCGAATAAGGAAAAAAAAAACCCAAAGCAAAAATGATTGGCATTGAAAGTGCCAGGTGGAATTGGGGGAGGAGGAAAATCTGTTGAAGATGAGCTGGTGAACGGTTTTCCCATTTCGGTGGTGCTGGTAGTGACAGCGAAAATTGGGCCTAGAAGATGCCGAAGCATTGGAGGATGTTGTAATTGTGGTTCTGGGGAATGGAGATAGAAGATTGAAATGAGTTTTACCAGTCGGATTAGGACCTCCGTGAAGCGGCAGAAGTAGCAGAAGCAGCAGCAGGAAGAAAATGGATTTAGTGGAAAGCATCCAGTGGTTTTCGGTTGAAGAATTGTGAGTGTGGGCCCCCAGCCAAAACCGAGCAATCTGCTCGTGATTGAGTGGAATTTTCTGGAGTGGTCGTGTGTGGCCGTCACTGTGGATGCCGTGGAAGAACCAACCCAGCGCGATAAAGGTGTGAAGTGTGAAAAATTGAAGATTGAAAAATCGAGAAAGACTGATCAGTGGGAAATTTTTGCTTGATGGAAAATCTGTGGGAGTGAAAATCGAGCCATGTGAAAAGTGTGCAGCACACACAGGAAAAAGCGTGAGCGTGAGCCCGAAAAGAGAGCGGAAGAGTCGGAGTTGGCTCTGGAAATCCAGAGCAGCTGAGAGAGTGCTGTGCAGTTCGAGTTGGCCGTTGCTAGCCCCTGGAGTTTGGCAGTTTGTCGGAAGAAACAAGGGCTGCTGTGAGTGTTGTCCGTTCGGTACGTAATTCGCACACACATGCGGTGTGTGTGTGTGCAGGATAGCATTTTTCGAAAAATAGCTCTCTCGCTCACCAACAATGTGCCGTGTGTTCGAGTGCTTCCCGCTGGTGTTTTGTGATAATGCTCCACTGCAAAGATGTGGTAATGATATGGAAATTAATCCTAGTCTTATTCCCCACCCTTAGTAGAGTGTGTAGTTGTTGCCCAGTTGAAGTTCGATTACTCCAGATAGGCTACCGATCGTAGTGCATTTACTCGCATTAACGGATACTCCAACATTAAACAATGCGTCCAGTTAATTGGAAAAGCCGATCGAAGGACGTTGGACAATTTTCCTAGCCTAGCCCCACGGCATTGAGCGCGGGGCTGTGTGTAACAGTGTTCGTACACCCCCGTCTCCGAGTAAGCGGAACAGCGGAGCGGAGTGACTCAATTCCTGTGTCGGTGTATGCGTGTTCACCACCTCGATCCGAGAACAATGAAACGCCGAGCGCATAAAAATTTGTCCTTCAAAAGTGTGTTCTAAAAATTCAACTTTTCTCTTCTTTGGTTATCCTCCCAACAACCTGTTTCTGAATCGGACTACAATTGGGCTCCTACTCCCCACACCGTCGTCCTTCATCATTCCTCTTCGAGGAAGCCTGCTGTATGAGCCTGATTCGAAAAGTGGTAAAAAAGCCCTCGACAAACACGAAACTTGCTGCACCTCCATCTCATTAATTGATGCTTACGTTTTTTTCTGTTCAGTGCGTCTACACGCGCTGTTTTTCCCATCCCCCCTATCTGGAGCATAGCATTGAAGAGAGAACATCTTGCTACAACAGGGTGAATTTTTCATTTGTACGACAATGCCCAACCGAAGCCAGTAACATCAACGTCCACCACCAGCAGTGGAGCCATCCACTCACGGAAAGTGATTTTCGGTCGGTGCTGCTGGGGGTTTCATTCATGAGAATGCTCTGGATCCGGATGGCGAGATGCTGGCTCGGTTGCTGAAGAATGTTGGACATGGATTCGGTGTTTTTTTTTTGCTTTTTGCTACCGTCAGTATTTGGTCAAAGCTTTTGAGTTGTGCAGTTTGTCCCCGAGGCTATGAAAACGGAGAGGAAATGCTGAATAGGAAGCTGTTGCTTGAAAAAGGTAGTAGTAGGTGCTGTTTGGGCATGGTGGTTGTGGATTTATGGGATGTGGGTTGATTTTTAGAACAGGACATCTGAATTGAACTCCGTTGATTTGAATGGGTTGTGAATTTAAGCAAAAGCATATCTGATGTGAGTTGAGATAGGGGATTGAGCGTTGCAGGCTTACGTTATACGCTTTGGATGCTTGATTGTGCAACTTTGATGGAACATTTAGTGGAAGAAGCTTCAGTGAAGATAATTGAAGTTCTGCTGTAGCTGTCTTTACTTTTAAATTTTTTATTTAAAATGCAAAACATATTGAATAAGGTACACAGTAGACTGATGCAAAATTTGACTTTTTCGCTCCACAGTGCTTAAATGGTTTCAAATCGGGTCCTGATAAGCCTTCCAAAGTTACAACTCATTTGGTTAGAAACAGACTTCGCACAAGCCATTTGAAGTTTACATGTAAATTACTATGGGAAATCTCAACTTTTTGTTCATTGCCTTCTAGTCTTTTTCCATATTGAGCTGGGAAACAGTTCGATAGCTATTCTTATAGAAAATTTTCTCAGCTACATCTTTGCTCAAGATCGTTTCTATGTAAAACGAGACAGGAAAAAGTTATTAATTATTTAAGAGATTAGTAAACTTATGACATGATCAAGCAGCTGCTCTGTAGGCAACACTGTATTTTGCAGTGTTACATAGTAGCCATGATTTTTGTGTCCTATTCAACGCCCCAGAAACACCAATGTTGCCTGCTGAGCAGTTGATTGAGCATGATCATAAGACATCAGCGCATTGAACCATTGATAACTTTCGGTCCTTGCATTTGATCAAAAAGTGATCTTTAGCAAAGTTGGTCCTACAAGCACAGTTGAAAGCTTTTAAAGCAGACCGATATGGTGAATTATTAGATCGACATGAACAAAAATCTTGGTTTTCCCATAGTAATTCCCATACAAACTTCAAATGGTTTGTGCCATCTCAGTTTCTCACCAAATGGGTTCAAATTTTGAGAGGTTAGTCAGGATCCGATTTGGAATCGTTTAAGTATTGTGGAGCGAAAATTTCAAATTTTGCATCACTCTAGTACACAGTGCCTATTTGAACCGGGTTTTTTCACAGTTTAACTTTGAAGCTCTTTAGAAAAAAAAAAAAATAGCATAAACTAGATGTTTTTGCATCAAAAGTTTTGTGAAAGCGGCTTCTTCAACGAATAAATATCGAATTATAATAAAGAACACAGAAAGTTACATTTTAATTATGATACAATTAAGGCCCCGTATCGTGGGTAGATCACCTTTTCGTAGTACGTTACGGGATGTAAGATCTACCACCGATTTTTAGTCCTGACTACTTCAAACTACGGGAACAAGACATAAACACATATTAGTCCTTGCTACTTTTTATGCCTTGTTGCCTGGACCAAGGATGATCTTCAACCAAGGAAAAAAAAAGTCAGTAAGTCTTTATCTATGTGATTCCTAATATTCTATTCGTAGTTCCATAGTTTGAAATGGTTAAGACTAGGGTTCTGATGCATGATTATTATCGGTGTCATTGCTTAATTTTGTTGCTAAGGAATCCAATTCTGACTGAAAAAGGGGCGTGCCTTTGGAGGGTGCTTATGTTGAAGAACAGCTAATGCAGAACATTGCCTTTTGTAGCTAAATTCTGGCTTATTCAGCCTCTAACCAGCTAAATTGCTACTTTCATTTATATTGATTGAGACAAAATTGATTTTCCTGATTTTACTCATTCATCGTTGTAGTGTGGGGTGCGACTGATTAGTTCGAAAACTATTACGTCTTCGCCACATCTAGGTTAAGATTACTGAATATCCCTTTTGTGTGTGTGTGTGCTGATTAAGACTGACTGCCACCTGCGTTCTTCAACTAATTTTGTTCCTCGGTGCTGTCGTGTCAGCAAAGTCCTCCGGTTGGTAATTGGTCGTTCGCCAACTGCTGTAGCGATGATTGCTGATCATCAATTTACTCGGTGTCCAAAGTACGCTGCAATGTATGGGTCTGTCAAAGTTCCATGCGGTTATTGTTGTTGCCAAGTGTGATAATGCTGATTTCGGTTGTTTGGTTGTCGCGTTTCTCGTGGTTCCAATGCCGGGTGCCTCAAGCGTGGATTCTGCAGACAACCAGAATGCACGTATATTCAAAGTTGTTTTCGTGATATACAAACATATATACAAACAAACAATTCGTATAAAATGCAAAGAAATGGCTTATACGTACCAAAGTAGAGGCCATATACGTGCATATTGTAATTTGATTTTAAACGAGTTGATTTAACATCATATACGATTTAATCTGTAATAACCAATTCATTTTGAAAAGTCTTACGATGTAATCCGATTTAATTAGTAATGCAGTACGTCGGAAATTTGCATTCTATAAGATTTAACACAAACATAATGCGAGGTATGCCATTCTTAAGTGTGATTTTGACTTAAACTGTAGCAATTTACGATACTGTCTATACAAGGTTATACGACTTATGGTTGTCTGGGTCTAGTACAGGGTTAGCGTTGTGTCAGCATCTAGTTCACGGTCTTATCATAGCAGGAAAAATAGAGAAAATTTATCATTTTTGGGAAGATTGCAGCGTAGCAAAAAAAAATTTTATAGATTTCATTACTTATGAAAATCAACAAAGCTGAGAGGCACTCTAAGCTGTTAAGCTGTGTTCGAAGAATTATCTTTCCATGTCTACTTTTAAAATTTACGGTCGGTCGAAAGTATTCAATATTTCAGATTAATGAAATTGAGACTTTACTGAAATTCAGAGAACTTCTAGTAAGTCGAGATAAATTCTTATAAGTTAAGAGAACATCATGCAATTTCTGAAAACAGTGTAAAAGTTCAGGGAGCATTGTTGAACATAAAAGAACTTCGTAGTATTAAGACAACTTTGTAGAAGGTCAAGGAGCTAAAAGTTCGGGAAACTTTCTAGAAGAGCTGCAAATACATGTTTAGAAAATTTTTTTACAGCTCAGTGAACTTCTTAGAGCTAGTTCGTAGAATATCGTTTAGACTGTAGAGTTTTGTCATTTTTGTAGAAGTTCAGAGAACTTTACAGAACTTCATCAAACGTTGTTGAAATTTAGCAACTTTTGTTGTAATTCGGATTTTCAAGAACTTCATTGAACTTCGTAAAACTTTAGGGACATTTTAGAAATTTAGAAAAATTTATAGATATTTGGGGACCTTCGAAGAGCTTCAGAATGTTTCGTTGACATTCAGGGAGTTTTGTACAAAAATGGGGTAAAATTCTTAGAAGTTTGTTTAATATCAGGAATCTTCATACAATTTCTTGGACTTTCTTTTGTTTTCAGAGCTCCTTTGTTATAAATTAATGGACTTGGAATAGTTCGGGAAACTTCGATGAAAATCAACGAAATTGTTGATAGTTCAGGAAACTTTAAAGAAGTTTAGCATATTAGGTAGCAATTCGAGAATTTCGTTATATTTCAGGGAATTTTGAAAAATTTAAGGGTCTTCGTAAATGTTTTTTTTTTTTAATTCTTTATTAAAGAGATTTTTAGCCTTAGGCTAGTTCATCTCTACGTAAATGTTCGGCATACTTTGTTGAAGCTCAGCAAACTTCGTAGAAGTTCAAGGCATTTCACTGAAGCTTAGAAAATAACGTAGAGGTTGAGCAAACTTCGTGGAAGTTCAGAGATTTTCGTATACTCAGCTTAGAGAACTTCAATGTTGTTTCTTTAAAGACTTATTTCAAAAAAGCTCAAAGAACTTCCTGGAAACCTCGTTTCGGTCGGATGCTCAATTATTTGAATGTTCAGGATCTTTCCGGAGGTTAAGAGATCTTGGTCGAATATAGAGTGCTTGGATAAAAAATAATATCGAACTTGGATGAAGTTCAGAGAACATCAGCATCAGCATGAGCATGATTGACCGCCCACGGTTGCTACTCTGCTATTGCCATATCAGCTGTAATTACACAGAGAACCAATAGACGATGCTTGGGACTAGCAATCATCCA